TTCCCACGGCTCTCGGCCCCGCCCCCACTCATCACAATGTATTTTATTAAGTTATCATTACACAATGAATAGATTTAAATTGTAATGTGAATATTCATTTTTATTATTTATTTGAACATGCTGTGGTTCTTAACATATATTTTGATGCCGGTAATAATTATTTTGACAGTACTGAACTTATATATGGGAATATTTAGGCATAATTATTTTTTATGAATAATGAATTAATCTCTTCTCTGTATTTCTTTGAATTGCAATTCGATGAATTCCAATTCAGCATCTTGTGTTTTGAATTTTGTCCAATGCTGTCGAGGCCTTCACCTGGTAGTGCACTATGTGACCAGTAGAGGGCGCCTGATGCAAATCCTGTCAACACCAGACAAATGTGTGAGTGCAAGAATTTATAACATGATGGCGACAAAACTGTGGTTAGATTTGAGGTTAAATGTTGACCCCGAAATAATTAAACACTACAGGATGACAAACAAAATTCAGTTGTAAGTGCCAGCGGTTGTGTCAGTAATCGTATTGATTGAGTGCTCAATTAAATTAATCTGACAGCAGCATCATGGGAAGCGCTCACCTCCTGCAGTCTGTCAATGTACAGTCGACAGGTTTCCAGGTCACAGTCTCCTCTCACCACCACGATGCCAACAGGAGTCGCTGAACAAGCACACACACACACACACACACACACACACACACACACACACACACAATCACATCATACTCACCTGTCCTACAGCAGCACTGTATAATAACATGTGAACTGAATTGTGGGAAGGTTTCTGATTGACTTACAGATGTCACGCAGACGCTCCTTGTCGAACTGCATGCTCTCGTACTCCTGCAGGCCGATGCGGTTCACGCGCAGACGCAGACGCTCAGGGACGGCATGAGGGCTGCGATACAACAACAACGACGACGACAAATGAGAACTGATGCCACATTAACGAAACACCTAATCAACAAAGGTGGAGGTGGAACAGGCATGCTCTCCGTTTTATCTTCTGCTTGCTGATAATGCTCACAGGAACTACATGAAAACACTTCATGATCGTACTGATTCATAATGAATAACCGTGAAAACAATATTAATCTCAGACGATGAGGAGCTCGTGAAGAAGAGTGAAAATGAGCTTCACAAAAGGACAGGTGAAGGACAGGTCAGGAAGGACTGAAGTCTTTAATGCATAAAAATGCTTTTTGTGGTCATTTGGTCTGTTTAGACCAAATCTGTCATCCTTATTCAAGTCAACATGATTGACACTTAAAAGAATAGTTACATATTCAAATGAATCATTATTTACTATTATTTCTGTAACCTTTAATACATTAACCAATATTAATGTATTGTGTTTACTATCTGAAATATTTTAGAAAAGCATTCAAAGTGCTTAAATAGCTATTTGGTTAATGATTAGCATTATTTTTCCACCTGTGCAGTCCATATAGTGCACAATGATGACAAAATAAATAAAAAATAAATAAATACATAATGATAATAATAATAATAATAATAATAAAACAATTTTAATATTTGATTTTATTGAAAACATTTATATTTTTAATTAAATATTAAATTTATATTACATTAATTCTGATTATAAATACAAACCCTTAATTTGGCTGATTTGTGTACAATAAGACCAGAAACCTGTATTAAGCTTATAAACAGGGTCTTTTTTAATTTCATGTTGACTTTAAGATGCGCTGTGAGCTGAGTGTAAAACACAAAACACTCATGAGTGAGAGCCCTCGACTCACACAGATACACACATGCCTCTCTGTGTGTGTGTGCTGAGAGATAGCGTACTTACACAGAGAAGGAGTCGGGGGGAGCAGAGAGGCGGCGCAGGTCGGCTGCGCACACTTTCTGAATGCTGCGTCAGTGCAGCCACACAGGAACACAGGCAGCACAGCCAAGCCAGTCAGCACAGAGACAGAGAGAGACGGAGAGGGACCGAGGTGACAGACAGACACATGAAGGGCAACCGGTAATTAAGCAGGAGAAAGAGAGATGGAGACAAAGAAAGAAAACCCCACAGAGAGCAGAACCAGCACACGTGGATTAGTGCTGTTACTACAACATTCACCAGTCAAGCACACGCAGTGTTAGACTGTTAGTTACACACTCTCGTCCAGACGCTAACATCTCTGTGTGTGTGTGTGTGTGTGTTTGAGGGGAAACGCTCAGGAAAAGATCAGCTGGAAGTGATGTGCAATTTGTAACTTATTCAAATAGCATTAAAAATGGAATTTATACACAAACCTACACCTCTTAAATTTGTGTTTAATTTTTTGAATTAAAATGGTTTTAGATCTTTTTTTTTTTTGTGGTGGCATAAAATTAAATATGTGTGGTATATTCCACAAAAATAAAAATTACAAAAAAAGTATTACTGTTTCCACAAAAATATTAAGCAGCACAATGGTTTTCAACATAATAATAATAATAATAATAATAACAATAACAAATGTTTCTTGAGCAGTAAATCAGCATATTAGAATGATTTCTGAAGGATCGTGTGACACTGAAGACTGGAGTAATGATGCTGAAAATTCAGCTTTGATCACAGGAATGAATTACATTTTAAAATATATTCAGATAGAAGACAGTTATTTGAAACTTTAATAATATATTTTACAAAACTGTATATTTTTATGCCTTTAAATGCCTTTTTTTTTGTTAAATAAGAAAATATCTTACCAACCCCAAACTTTTTATCTATTATTGCGTATTATTTATTTACATAGTATATTATTATTGTATATTGTCATTTTTATATTATTTATTTATGCTAAATCAAAAAGTGGTTAGCTACTGGGGGAGCTTTTTTGTGACAAGAAAACCATAAAAACATAAATAATATAACTATAACTATATATATATATATATATATATATATATATATATAT